AAAAAAGAAGACTCAAGATATATTACCTATAGGTGCAAATTCCCTAGGATGAACGTGATCATTATGTGTATCAGAAGTTCACTGGGAATTGTAGGAAAATAAAGAGATTAGAGATAAAGAGCCTTGATCTTTTGATGACCCATCGTGGGCCATCCTTCTTATTTCACAGTAAGATCTTATTTTCTCTAAAACTAAGACTTTGCTTGCATATAGTCTCTCACCATTCAACCTAGGTGAGCTGAATGAAATCTTTCCTGGCTGTGAAGAAACAGAAAAATACATGGTACCATGCTATTTGCAATAGTTACAAACTGAAAATAACAGAAATGTCCATCAGCAGATCAATGGATAAACACAATGTGCTATCTATATAGGATGGAAATATTACTCAATCAGAAAAAGGAATGAAGTTCTGATACCTCATGAGTAAACAACAAAAGTTAGATGCATAGGACAACATAATTACATTTACATAAGGTACCTGGACTAAGTAGATTCACAGACATAGAAAGTTAATTAGAGGTTACCAGGAGCTGGGAGAATTAAGAATGCTGGGTTATGCTTAATCATTGCCAATCTACATTTTGGGGTGATAAAAGAAAATAGGTGGTGCTGACAGTTGTACAGTGTGGTGAATATAACTAGTGACTCTGAACTGTACTCACAAAACAGTTAAAATGCCAAATTTAGGCAACAAGTTTTAAAAATTAATATTATATACAAAAATTCTGAGACTAAATTCTGACAATTCTATCTTCTTTGATGAAACTGAGTTCTCATATTTTTTCACTAATTTGCTGTAGATACTCATCCAATCTAAGCTTGAAGCTGGAGTCTTTAACTACTCATATCACTTAACCACTGTCATCCATGACAATTAGCAAATTTTGTCATTTTTTGCTAAATATTCCAATAAATAATAAGCCAGTTTGGCTATCGGCTGTGTAAGCAAATGAAAAAAATAACACCAGAGAAGTAATTAAATAGCGATTTAGAGAATAAAAGGATCTTAAATGCAAATTTCACAACATCGGTTTTATTATTAGTCAGATATGGTAAGGACAACAGATCAGGAGACAACAGCAATTAAACAAGGTTTATTACACCAGGAGAAGGGAATTAAGTACATCATACAACAGGCCACATGGGGTATGCAGAAACAAGGAAGTAACATGGATGAGAGTCTTTATTGTCCTATCCATAGGAAGGAATTGGTGAATCAAGCTTAGGACTGGGTTTTGAATAATTTCAGTGGGCTCAGGACTATAGGGTGGTTTTAATAGTCTTGTACCTGGCCCTGAGATGAAGAAGTTGATAAAGGAAGTGGTTGGGGGGATATATTCTATTAAGTGGCTAGTTTGCATACAAAGATACACTTGTAGGTAAGTCTTTTACTACTAGCTTTAGGAATTGGCTACCATAAGAAAGTAATTTCTCCAGAATTAACAGAGCCCCCAAGATGTTAGGGCACCAGAATACAGAAAAATAAAAAGGAATGATTAATGCAGAGAAAAAACAAAACTGTAGTGTTATAATTATCTAAATACATAAAAAAAGAAACAAAACATTTTTAAAAAGGCTAAATATAACAGCAATGACAACCCAGTATGTATAGTGGCAGCAAATCTATGGCATGTGTCACAGCTGGCTGTTATCATTTAAGCTATAAAAGTTTGCCATTGTTGATCTATTACATTTTTTTAAAGTAACACATGTCCACTAATCCGCTAATGAGAATGGAATTTCTTTTGCTAAGGGTAAAACATTTGGTTAAATGGAATTTAAAATTAGTATTCTCTAGCACCAAAATTGATTGCCAAGTTTTTTGTTTGGTTGGGGTTTTTGTTTGGTTAAAAGTCTGCCCCAAATGCAGTTTAGGCTGACTCTGGCCTTATTATGTAGCCCAGGCTGGTGAATTCAAAAGGTGATTTTCTGGCTCAGTCTCCTGAGTGCTGGGATTATAGGCATGTGCCACCATCCCCAGCTTTGATTGTAAAGTCTTATCTATTAATGCTGGTCAACAGTGAGAATTTACATATTTCATATCTGAAAATGCCTTTCCATATAAGTACAGTCAAAACTGATTATCAATCCATGAACATGACTTTAATTGATTATAATTATCACCTGGTAGGCTATTCGGAAACTGTCTTAAGATTCTTCTTTTTTTTTTTTTTTTTTTTGGTACCAGAGACTGAACCCACAACCTTGCACTAGCCACGCAGGCGCTTATGCCACTGAGCTAAATCCTCAGCAATTCTTCTTTCATATTTGCTTCTTTCTTTTTCTTTCTTTCTTTGTGTGTGTCTCTGTGTGTGTGTGTTTGTCTTTTTGAGACAGGGTTTCACTAACACTTCAGGCTGGCTCAAATTCAGTGATTTTCCTGCATTAGGGCTCCCAAATGCTTGCATTATGTGATGGAATTACAGGCACATGCCACCACACCCAGCTAATGCTTGCTTTTTAACAATGCTAACTAATCACATCTAACTGAACTTTATGTGGAAGTTCTGTTGTACACACACACTGTTTTTTAATACAAAAATTTCTTTCGCACCTGCTTTAAGGTCCTAAAATGCTACTGAACTGTGGTTTGAGCTCAGGAAATACATCTCCTGCTAATTATGTGTAGGATAAAATCTCAGTTTAATTTGTGAGAACATTGGATATACAAAAAGGAGTCTGACGTTACTTGTATTTCAAACATTTTGATTGGCTGTCACTGAAATGACTTCACCCCATATCACTTTCACAGACAAGCAATGTTTGCACTATAGTTTTAGACAAAATTCATTAGGAATTGTTAAGTCTGCAGCGAAAGCTATTTTCTGGGAGAAGGGGAGTAAAGCACTTTGATTACATTCATGAGGCCCTGGGTTTTATTACAGGGGCTAAAAAAACAAAATCTATTTTCCATATTCATTCAGTGGTGAAATAGGCTCTTCCAAGTTCAGAAAATGTTGATTTCAGGCATGAGCTAACATAGTTTCCAATAAACATTTACCACTAAGCCATCAAACAGAAAGCTGTGGGGTAGGATAAATCAAGAGATTAAGCTTCTATCTTTGACAAAAACTTACAATAACTACAGACTTTAAAAGTCTTACATTTTTATATGTTTTCTAAATCTATCCAAATCTTTTTCTATTCTCATGTATTTTTATTACCAGCAATTAATATATACCTTAGTAGGTTCCTCTAGACTGACTGAATTTAGGGCTTTGCAATTCAACTTCAGAAGTTTTTCATCTGAAGTTGTTCCACACATGCTACTTATACAGAGTACTTCCTTGACACTTCATATCAAGTACTGATCATTACATTTGTCGACTTACCAATTGACTGAGCAAATCTTATGCTTGGTGTACTGATGTTCATATTTGATTTTTGTGAAGAAGTTCTTCTGCACGGAGAGATTGTGACTTAAAATTTTCTAATTTTGTATTATTTTTAGTGAACTGGAAATTCTGTGATGAGTACTTAGTCTGATAGTATTAACACTACATTCTGACACAATACATTCTAATTCACTGTATAATGAAAACAACATTTTGCCATGTAATTCAATAATAAAATATTCCATGCTCCACTGTATTTTAAAAGCATGACATTCAAAGTCTGTATTTCTCTTTATCTGTTCTTTTAACATGAGTACTAAAGACATACTAACAGTAAAAAGAACATATATGTCACATTATATGTGGCATTTGACATACATGAACTAGTAACTCTCCTATGAGTTACAGGATGTCAAACAAATAATAATGCATTGAAAGCATCACATACAGTTGCTGTACTCACTATTCAACTCTATCCTGCTTTTGTAGTTTGAACAAATCGTAGACAGGATATAAATATGAACACATATGTTCATAAATATGAACACAATAAAACTATGTATGGACACTGAAATTTAGATATTATAATTTTCAAGTGAAACAAATATTCTTCTTTGTTTTAATCACTTAAATATTTAAAAACTGTTTTGAGACTATGGGCAATATACAAATAGGCAGAAGGTATCTGATCTGGCATCTGATCATTATTTTGCCAATCTCTAATGTAGCAAGTGCAGAACAATTTACCACACTTGACTATCTGGAGCATTTTCAGAATATTAGTGTAACACCACATGGACTAGGAAGAGACTGACCAAAAGATAAATTTGTCTAATGGCTAAGAGAAGAAAAATAAAATCTAAATTCCCAAGTTTATATTTTATTTGTCCAATATACACTATTTGGATAAGACAACTTTCAGAGCCTCAACTTACTCATCCACTGTGAAGAATAATTCAAAGCACAAATCCAAAAGTGAATTAATCTATGCAAACTGATTATAACAGTACTTACAATGAATGTGCTCAATAAATGTTAACCTATATATTGTTAATGCAAATCAGATGACACATTGAAATAAAATATACATTGAAAAGATAAAATTACCCAGTTATAGGCACATGTAATAGCATAAGATAAATCCAGAGAGATTCAAATGCTATGAGAATTATGATACAAACACATAAAATTTAGTTTGTAGAATATCCTTTGGAATCATAGACAGAACTTAAATATAAATTCAACAGTCTCATGTGAATATGGAAAATAGCTTTAAAAAATTGAATCAGATTTCAGGAACAAAAGTACAAAGAGAGACAATCAAACGACAAGTCCCATGTTTAAGGATTATAGGATGTAATAAAGTCAATAAAGACACTCAGGTGTATCCCAGCACTCAGGAGACTGAGGCAGGAAGATCACTTATGTAGTTCAAAGCCAGTTTGCACTACACTATGAGACAAAAACTCAAACAAAAAGTTAACAAGGAAACAGTAAGCACAAAAACAGAACATAATACATATACACAAGAATCAGTTCAGAAAATCTTACCATAGTATGAAGATAAATGCTCGTGTACTTGAAACATTAAAAAGAATATCTAGGAAAAGCAAACTTCCATACAATATAGAAAATATTGTTGAAGTTGAAAAATCTACTTACTGAAACAGCTATCATTGTACTATCTGGTCTCCATTCTGCTTGTTTATAGGATCCAAACTGAGTAGATGATTTTGCAGGTTCCTTGTAGGTTACAATTAATACACTAGGCTGGAAGAAAATAGTTGTATTTTTGTTAATAGTTCATAAAAACAGAAAAAACTTAATTTATAAAATACTCTAAAAACATATTAAAATGCAATAAAAATAATATATTAAATCAATTTTCAACACTCCAAGCAAATCAGTTAGTATTAAGCCTTTATCTATTAAAAAACTCAAATCAATAATTAATAACTTTCCAAAACAGAACTAGTCCAGATGAGTTCACAAGTGAATTTGACCAAATATTTAAAGTTATACAAGTCTTCTACAAAGCCTTATTGTGGGTGGGGTACAAATGATCCTCCTAAGTCATTCTATAAGGCCAGACTACCTTAATACCAAAACCAGACAAAGACATTACATTAAAGTACTAAAGACTAAAATTTCTCATAAATATGTGTAAACTCCCAATAAAATATTAGCAAACCAAGCCTGAGAATATATAAAAAGAAGTTTATACCACAACCAAGTGGGATATAGCCCAGGCATGCAAGACTATCTCAACAGCAGAAAATGAATAACTATAATCTATCACATCACCATCTACAGAAGGAAAAAACTGCATGATTGTATCAATAAATGCAGAAAAAAGCATTTGACATGTGTAACAAGTATTCGTGATAAAAACTCAACAAACTAAGAATGGAAGGAACTTCTTTAACGTGATAATGAATGCATACAAAATTTAATACGTTTGGAGAAATTCGAAGCTTTTCCATTAAGTTCAGGAAGAATGCAAAAAATATCCTCTATCTTCATTGCCTTTTTTTTTTTTTTGAGAGAGAGACAAGATCTTGCTGTGTAGCTCAGGCTGGCCTAGAATTGGAACTTCCTGCAATCCTCAGCCCTAGTGCTGGGATTAAAGACCTGTGCCATCACGTTCAGTCTCTACTGTTTTTCAACACAGTAGCACAAGTCCTAACTGAAGTAAATCATATACATACTGAGAAGGAAGAAATAAAACTGCTTATCCATACTAGGTACTAGGATCATCTGTGGAGAAAATCTGAAAGAGTCAAAGATAACAGAAGCTTAGAACCACCAAGCAAAGATAACAAATTGAACACTACAAAGTTAGTATACAACAAACAGTCAAACACTAGCTTATACTCTAGCAATGAAAAAATGGAACTTATAATTTAAAGCATTTGTGCATTTATATTAAATTTCTAAGATGAAATACTATAATAGAATAAAATCTAATAAAAAATATATACAAGATTTCCATGAGGAATTACAAGATGAAGTATACCAAAAAAGAGCTACATAAATGACTGTATGTTTCAGGAAAAGTCAACAATAAAGATGTCAGTTCTTCCCAGTTTGCTCTATAGACTCGATGCAATCTTAAATCAGAATCTCACCAAATTATTTTGTGGGTATCAACAAACTCTAAATTTTATATGGAGAGACACAAGACCAAAAAGACCAAAAGTCAACTTGATATGAAGAAAATGTTGGAGAACTGACACTAACTTCAAGGCTTATTATTATAAAGCTACAGTAATCAAGAGCGCATGGTATTGTTGAAAAAGAACCAAATCGATCAAAGATACAATAGCCTAGAAACAGACCCACATAAATGGAGTTAACTGATCTTTGACAATGGAGCAAAGGAACATAAAGGAGAAAAGTCTTCAACAGATGGTGGTAGAACAGATATGAACAAAAACATTCACTAAAAAAAAATCTAGAGACAAACTTTACAACCTTTATAAGCGTTAATTCAAAATAAAACACAGTCCTAAATGTAAAAAGTAAAATTCTTAGAAGATAAGTTCTACAAGCAGAAAAATCTAGAGGACCTTAGGTATGGCAACATCTTTTTATAGAGAATACGAAAGGCACAATGTTCAACAGAAATGACTGACAAATCAAAACTACTGTGTGAGAAACACAGTCAAGGGAATGACGACAGAAAGCTGCAGCTGGAGAAACTATTTACAAAGGACACATCTAATAAAGGACTAATAAACCTGGTTTTTAAAAAGGACACAGAAATAGAACTTATACCTCACTAAAAAGACACACACACGCGCGCGCGCGCGCGCGCGCGCGACAAGATGTTTAACATCATATGTCCTTAGAAAAGCAAACTAAAACAAGATACCACATATTCCTATTAGAATGGCCAAATCTAATGTTGATTTCAAATACTGGTGAGGATATGGAGCCACAGGAACTCTCATTTACTGCTGTTGAATGCAAAATGCTACAGGCACTTTGAAGACAGTTTGGCAATTTTTCGCAAAAACTAAGCACACTCTTACATATGATGTAGTATCTGCAGTCCTTAATATTTATGCAAATGAATTAGAAATATGTTCACAAAGAAACTCTCATAGCACTTTTACTCACAACTGCCAATACGTGGAAGTAACCAAGATACCCTTCAATAGTTTAAGACTAAAAATAAAGTCTTTTAAAAAAAAAAAGATAACCCAAAAAGAATTCAATCAAGGTCTACTATATGGCTAAGGAGGTACTATAATACATCAAACAGCAACGTTCTTGCTCATCTTATAAAACATATAGACTACATGGGGGAAAAAAGTAAGCATAATAAGAGTTCAGGTAACATATACTTAAGATTCTAAACAATGTAATAATAATGTTGTACCTGGGCTTCAACATTTCAAAAACTTTGAAATTCATTAATTTTGATAAGGAGTACAAATTCTGTAAGTAATAAAATAAAGGATAAGATATCCAGGAAACTTGGAACAGATCTTGAAGAATCTAAATGACTAGTATAGTTTAGTACAAGGAAATAATATCAGCAAACTCAAGTGGCACTCAAAATAAAAAAATTGGACTAAGCAACGGGTTTACTGCAGGATATGAGAAAGAAAAGAGGTCAAATAATGTAGACCAATGATTAAAGAAATCTCATATTGCTAGATTAGCTTGAATGCCATAAATAAGAGGTTTCCATGTCCTGATTACATAAGATTCACACAACATTTGCTGAATAAAAAATTGTAATGATACCTCTAAAGCCAAGGTAATGTCTAAATTAAACTGATATTTAGCTAAAAAGAAACTAAAAAACTGTTTTCTATGAAGTGACCTTAGAGAATAGCAGGAAAACTTACTTGGACTAACTCTTCTGTAAAGAACAATGAAAAGAATCTAGAAAATAAAATAATATCCAAGGCAATGGAGAATGATCTAAAATAGAGAAAACTGTAATATAGCTCCAAGTGAAAAGATATCCCATGCAAGATGTGTGGATCTGCAGCTTTTGCCCAAAGGGTACAGCCCAATATGCACCTGGCTCGAGGTAACAGAAAGTATAGATTTACGGCTTGAGACATCAAAAAATGAAGTTCAGACTTGATTACTGCTGAAAAGTTATGGAGGAATCTAAAAGGAATGTGTCTCATTCAAAATCAACCTCAAAATATGGATTTATCATATTACAGGATGACCAATAACCTACATCTGTGAGGGAAGACTCTAGTGTATGTGATGGAAAAGCAGTAATAATTGGCAGTTGAGAGGAAAAAAAAGAATAAAGTCAAATATTGCCCACCACAAAAGAAACTAACTGAATTTGAAGTCTGCATTCATACAAGGCAACAGCCCGGGGAACATTACATTGCTCTTTGTAACAACACAACAAAATCTGGTCTCTATATAGTATAAACAATATTATAAATGGCAAAAAATTTAGAAAGCATGAAGGAATAAGAAAAGAAAAAAACTGATAGTCAAGAATTTTTAAAGCAAGGATTACCAATAGTATGTTGAAGGACTTAAAAATATAATGAATGAGGATAAAGGGAAAAATTCACAACAGAACAGCGTTTTTAAAAAAGCCTAACAGGAATTCTAAGCTGAAAAACGAAGTAACTAAAAACTCATCCATTTTATAAATTATACAAATAGTCAATCTGCAATAAATTGAATAAAACTTATCTAATCAAAAAAAGACTAGAAGGGCTGGGGATCTAGCTCAGCGGCATAAGCGTCTGCCTCGCAAGAAGGCAGTCGTGAGTTCAATCCCTGGTACCGATAAAAACAAAAAAGACCAAAAAAAAAAAAAGACTAGAAAAAACCAGTATCAAAAACAAAAACTTCAAGCAATATCATAGAAGAATCCAAAAATAAAAAAGAATGAGGCAGAAAAATATATATGAAAAAATAATAGCTGAAAACTTCCCCAAAAGAAAAATGCTTATGACTCAATAAACCTGACAAGCCATAGGCTGAGGTAGGACAACTGTTGTGACAAGAGCAGCAGCCTGGACTACAAAAGCAAGGCCCTGTATCAAAAAAACAAAAACAAAAACTCAACTCCACAAATTTCACACAGAACAAAAAGAAAACTACTTCACAGACTGAGCTATATCCCCTGGGGCTTTTTTGTTTTTGTTGGTGGTGGTGGTAGTCTTTTTTAAGACAGTTTTTTTCACTGTGCAGTTCACACAGCCTTGAACTCATTTTGTATCCCAGGCTGGTCTTGAACTCACAGCACCCGTCCTGCCTCAGCCTTCTGAATGCTGAGATTACATGTGTGTGACACCATGCTTAGCTATCCCTGATATTTTTAAATTTTGTTTTTAAACACAGTCTTGCTAGGTTGCCCAGGCTGGCCTTGAACTTGGGACCACCTACCTCAGCTTTCCAAGCACTTAGGTCATACTGCATTAATCTGTTCACTTCAGCTTGCCCCTGTTATTTGTAGCTTTTGGTGTTTTTTTGTTTTTGTTTCTGTTTTGTTTTTTTTCCTGAAAGTGATAAATCTGGCTCTCATCTGATAAATTTATTGACTTATTTGTTCAATCCTACGTTTTGGATGGCCAACAATATCATTGTAAGAAACAAATTTACCAAGTAAAATATATCGTTTATGTATAGTTCCCATCTATTACTTTAGCCTCATGATAAATATTTAAAATACTGAATTTCCAAAGTTACATCTATAGGTCATCCCTTTAAAAGTTTTTCTTTTCTTAATCTCTGAAAGTGAAACATAAAAGTTTTAAAGAGTTAACAAGAGT